CACTTCCCTTCTACCTCCCTGTTTAGGGTCTGAGAAAGCAGTCGAGGACAGCCCAAAGCCTTGGGACCCTGAACCCACGTGGCAGACCCGGAAGAAGCTCCTGGCTTCAGTTCGGCTCATATCCAGCCGTTGTGACCACTTGGGAAGTGAACCAGGAGATGGAAGACATTTCTCTCTCCTTCATTCTGCAAATCTGACTTTCCAATAATAAATAAATCTTTAAAATAAAAAAATAAAATGCAAAGAATTTGCAACCTCTTCTAAGATACCTGTTCTTTACTCAATTCTAGTATACTACTAGGTAAACTTTCTGTGGACTACTAGAATCCATGCACATACATCAATTTACAAATTGTCATATAGGCCTAGCACATTTAACAGGATGTCATAAACACTGAAAAGAATGGAATTATAGGAGAAACTTTAAGCTCCCCATATATGTACATTCTTATTTTAAATATATAGTTCTTTGAAAGTCAGAGCGGGGAAGGGAGAGGGGATAGAATCTTTTCACTGCCCAGGGCTGGGCCAGATGGAAGTGAGGAGCCCAAGACTCCATCCCAGTCTCTCAATTGAGTGGCAGCAGCTCAAGTACTTGGCTACCTGCTGCTATTTTCCCAGGATCATTAGCAGCGAGCTGGACTGAACGTGCAGGAGCTGGCAGCTTAACCAGCTACACCACAGCAATAGTCCCATGTGTTATATCTTACACAATACCCACTCACTGGTTGATCTTCTCCAAACTCTATATATCAATTGCTCTGCCTTGCCCTGCATGTTACAAGGCAAACAATGCTCTTTTGACAGATGTTACCATGGGATCATAAAATTCCAGCCCAATGAGGCCACAGCCAGTTACTAGGCACTCAAACCAGATTTTCTCAAGTAATAAAGAAGGAAGGCAATTATTTGTGCCATCACCACTGCCTCCCAGCGTCTGTACTGGTGGGAAGGCAGAGGCAGGAACCTGAACCTAAAAACTCCAATGTGGGAGGCAGGCAATTTCTTCTTTAAATGTATTTATTTTCATTTGAAAATCAGAGTAATATAGAGAGGAGGGAGGGACAAGGCACATGAGAATCTTCCACCCACTGCTTCACTCGCTAAATGGCTACAACATCCAGAGCTGGGCTGGTCCAAAGGTGAGAGCTTCTCTGGGTCTTTCATGTGGTTGCAGGGACCCAAGCACTTGGGCCATCTTTCACTGCTTTCCCAGACCTTAAGCAAAAAGATGGATGGGAAGAGGAGCAGCCAGCACAAACTTGAACTGCTGCCCATATGGGATACTGGTGCCACAGGCAGAGAATTAACTCACTATGCTGACACCGGCAAAGAGGCAACTAGGCTGAATGAATGTCAACTCTAAGGAAAAGTAATTTTGACAATGAAGTTCTGAGAGTATTTTTTTTTTAATTTAGACATTACTGTAGTGAAAAGTTTACTCTGATACCATCAAAGGCAAAAAAAAAAAGAGCTGTACAAATTACATAATTTTTAAACTACTGTATTAGAAAAATAAAATAATATTATCTTAAACATTAAATGCTTTGTTAGAAAAAATACAGTATCAATTAGAAAACATAAAAAGAAATCATTTCAGAATACCTGAAAACAAATGACATTACTAATAAGGAAAATGACTCAAACATTTTCCATTACAAAGGAAACTAACATCTTTCGTTAGAAAGGACAGCAAAGACTAGGCAAGCACTACAGCCCAGTGAGGTAAGTCACTGCTTAGGATGCCTGAATCCCAGAGTTCCAGTTCAAGTCCCAGCTATCCCACTTCAGAGCTAGCTTCCTCAGCAAGTGACGGCCCAAGTACTTCAGAGAGCCAGCTCAGAGAGATGTGCATGGAGTTCCCGACTCCTGGGCTTCTGCTGCTCCACTTCCAGCTTTGCCAAGTGAACCAGCTTTTTGGGGGAAGTGAATTAGCCAGTCATGATATCTCTCTCTCTCTCTCTCCCCTTCTCTCTCTCTTTCTCATCCTCCCTCTTTGTCACCAAGGCTTTCAAGTAAAAGTCTTACAAAAAAAAGAAAAAAAAACAAAATAGTAAAGCAAAACTGTTTGTCAAATGGTAAACAGACTGCATATAATGATACATTGCAGTTTCACATACTAGTGTAAAATGGCATTTGTATTTTAGAGGAATTCATTCAATATGATTACAGAATTTTCCAAAATGTCCACACATTTTTATACATGACAATGTACTGCTATCCACTACATGCCAGACACCAAACTAGGTTCTTCAAATGAAGATAAGGGGTTGTAACAGGTTACTTATCCTAGTGGTTAAGATAAATGTGTCCCTCATTAGATGCCTGGGTTCCATTCCTAGAACTGGTTCCTAACTCTGGTTTCCCACATAGACCCTGCAGGCAATAGTGATGGATTTCCTGCTCCCTACATAAGATCTGGACTAAGTTTCCGACTCCTGCTCCCATTTCCGGCCACTGCAGGCATTTGGAGAGTAAACCAGCAGAAGGCAGTTCTGTCTCCATCTCGCTCATTTAAAAAACAAACAAAACATCCTCTCTGTCTCTCCTCTCTGTACATCCACCTTTCTAATAAAAAAATAATAAAAATAAATCTTTAAAAAAAACAGAAAATAAGGTAGTTTAAAGATGACAGATTCTAATAATCTCCTGATTACATACTATCCACTACAAATATGGCAGAAATTTCACTTACACACAAAAATATTCTGGAATAGTTTTCAAAATCAGATAAAAACTAAGCAATAATATCTAAATTCTTCATGTTTATGTTATAGCAAAATGAACAAGAAAAAAAGTAGAAGTATTTTAATGGGAAGATATTTAACACTCGGCAAATTCCACTTTTAAATATTTCAAAAAAAAAGAGTTTTTCCATATAAAACATTTGAAGCCATGGAACTATCTCCCATGATAATTTCTTTCACAGACAGAAGATGTATCTTCAATTCAATGGTTACCACTTTTAAAGGCAAACATAAAACAACAAAAGCCTTCTAAAATGCAGACGAGAATCAACATATACAGTAGCATATCAAAACATTCATCAGAAATGTACACTATGAGAAAACCAGGCATGGATTTTAAATTCTGCTGCACCAACATAAACTTATCTTTAATTTCATTATTCTGAAGCCAGCATGGTGACAAAACATGCTAATCTTCTGCCTTCTAGTGCCAGCATATGGGTGGCAGTCCATGTCCCAAATGCTCCACTTATAGTCTAGCTCTCTGAAAATGGCATGAGAAGGCAGTGGAAGTCAGGCCAAGTCCTTCGGACATTGCACCTATGTAAAATACGTGGAAAGAAACTCCTGGCTCCCAGCTTTGGATAAGTTCAGCTCTGACCTTTGCAACCACATGGGAATGAACCTGCAGATGAAAGACCTTTCTCTCCTTCTCCTCCTGTTAATTTTTTCAAATAAAACTAAATAAATTTTTAAAAATATTTAATTATTCCATGAAGTACCTTTATGTGGATTTACATGAATAAAGCAAACATTAACATTCTCCTTCTAGAAGGCCAACAATAACAATCAAGTCTTTGGGACCCAGCACAGTAGTAGCCTAGCAGCTCTAGGGTTATTTCCTTGCACACGCCAGGATCCCATATGGGCACCAATTCGGCAGCCCCACTCCCATCCAGATCCCCGCCTGTGGCCTGGGACAGCATTCGAGGATAGTCCAAAGCCTTGGAAGCCTTGCACCCACATGGGAGACCCGGAAGAGGCTCTTGGCTCTGAGCTTTGGATTAGCTCAGCTCTGGCCATTGTGGCCACTTGAAGAGTGAATCATCAGACAGAAGATTTTCCTCTGTCTTTCCTCCTCTCTGTATATATGACTTTCCAATAAAAAAAATTAATAAATCTTTTTTAAAAAATCAACTCTTAGGCCCAAGCGCCATGGCCTAGCAAATGAATGCATTAGGAACCCATATGGGCACCGGTTCTAATCCCAGCTGCCCCGCTTCCCATCCAGCTCCCTGCCTGTGGCCTGGGAAAGCAGTCAAGGATGGCCCAAAGCCTTGGGACTCTTACACAGATGAAGCTCCAGGCTCCTGGCTTCAGATCGGCACAGCTGCGGTCATTGTGATCACTTGGGGAGTGAATCAGCAGACAGATCTTCCTCTCTGTCTGTTCTCCTCTCTATATATCTGACTTTGCAACAAAAAATAAAATCTTTAAACTAAAATCAAGTCTTGGGCCCAGCACTATGGCATAGTGGCTAGGGTCCTGGCCCTGAATGCTCCGGGATCCCATGTGATCGCCAGTTCTAATCCCAGCAGCCGTGCTTCCCATCCAGCTCCCTGCTTATGGCCTAGGAAGGCAGTCGAGGACGGCCCAAGGCCTTGGGACCCTGCACCCACTTGGGAGACCCGGAAGAGCTCCTGGCTCCTGGCTTCAGATCGGTGCAGTGCCAGCTGATGCTGTCACTTGGGGAGTGAAACATCTGACAGAAGATCTTCCTCTCTGTCTCTCCTCCTCTGTGTATATCCACCTTTCCAATAAAAATAAATCTTTAAAAAGTAAAAAAATAATAATAATAATTAAATTAAATCTTCGGGCTACATATGTACTATTCTGATACAAAATTTCATTACTGAAAAAACAGTGCATGACATTATAATGAATATGACCCAAAATAATGATTAATTTAAATTGAATAGAACTTGAAAGAGTAAAAATGATCAAAAAATCTTGGAAGACAAATTGATAAGGATTAAAATGACTGGTAATTACTACAATATTAACTACACAGAATGGTATAAAAGACATCACAGCTTTGTTTTACACTCCTGTGACCTCAGAAACATTCCAGGATAATTGTTGATGCTTAGCACTGTAATTCTGTTTTTTTCCAAATTTCTCTGGGATTTGATGAAATCTCTAGGTAAAAATTTCAAAAGCCTTTAACTTCATAAATAACAAAAATTCCCATCCATCTCCTGGTTTTAAAATATAATTGAGATGAATCCGTAATAAAAATAATATGCACTGTACCTTATTATAACGATCATGAGGAACAGACTGTAAAACGATTGGTTCCATTGTAGCAACATTGGCAAACTGTACCTCTGGGATATACAGGGCACAAACCACATGAGCCCAACCTAAAAGTGAATAAATCATAAGGTCATTTTATCAGTTTACAAACCACTACCTTTCTAAAGAGATACCTACATAAGTGCCTGTTTAAGCAAATGTACAACAAAGATATTAAAAGCAATCCCCATTACTGACTCAGTTCCAGGGCATGAGAACTATCAAACCAACAACAAAACATCCTTAGTCATATTTCCAGTTACACTGAACAGTGGGCAAAGGAAAACACCTGCAAAATCCAGACGCTAGCACTGCACTTCTCATAACAATAACATTCTTCACATCAAATTACTTATGAGAACCACATTAAAAATTTCAACTGCTTCAGAGTAAGGGAAATAGTTTTAAAATTTTAATGTTAACTTTTTAAAATGTCACTATTTTTTCACATTATGTCAAATTCCATGGTTTTACTACGTTCAACTTCCATTTTGAAATATTTCATAAAAATTGATATTTTTTTATTTTTTAAATGTGACTGAAGATATTAAAAAGGCGAACTATTAAAGAACTGCTGAGTTAAAACCAGAAAAGGATAAAATCCAGGAGTGGGTATAACATTTGACCACTTTGGCCCAAAGCATTTTCCAATATCCGAGAAAGTAGTTACAGAGAAGGTCCCACTGACAGACTCTGGAGGCCGGTAGTTTGAACATGTTCCCTAAGAGACCTAGAGATGAAGGAAACTACTACTAAGCTTCCCATCCCCTTTCATGGTGATAGTAAAGGGCTACACTCCAGACAGGAGAATAAGCTAAAAGACACAGGCCCTCACAGAGATTACCTGGTCATCTTCTATAAGGCAATAATAAATTACAAGTACTCCTAGGCAACAAAAAGAAAAAGTACCATGTTCTCAGGTTCATCTTGACTCAGACTTTAATTCTAACAACTTGTTAATTAGAATTCCCAGCATGACAAAAAGCGAAACATAAGAGAGACATTAACAGAAACCAGAGACGAATATCAAAATGTTTTGGTATTTAGGAATTAACACAAAAATAAATGTATTAAAATAAATATGGGGCTGGTGTTGTTGTCCACTGTTTGCAACATAGGCATCCCAGTGCTGCTCCATCCCCAGGCTGCTCTTTGCTTTCAATCCAGCCTGGGAAATTACTAATCCTGGCAAAGCAACAGAAGACAACCCAAGCACTTAGCCCGGAGTTCCTGGCTCCCGCTTGGGCCCGGCCAGTTCTGCTTGTTTTAGCCTCTAAAGGAAACCAGTGAATGCACACAATTTCCCTCCTCCTCTCTGTTCCTCTCTGCTTTCAACAAATAAATCCTTAAAAAATATAATCTTTATCTCTTTATAGTTCCACTAAAGTTTCTCGCTTTGAATGTATTTTATTTACAATTTCTAATTGCTGGGTGTTATTTTCTGAAAAGTATTTCAGGATAATTATTTAAAATACTGCTTGTGTCATTTTCTCTGTCATATTTCTCTGTGCCTCAGATTATGTATGTGTGAGGCTGTTCTATTTTTCATTGCTCCTCCATGTTCTTTAAAATATAGAGAGGCAAAAATCATGCTTGAATACTATAAGCTGCTAAATATAAAAATGAAAATAGACACGAGACAGCTGAATAGTACCCTATAACCATCTTAAGGTTTATAGCAACTGCTTGTGTATATACTAAAATTGAGATGCCAAGGGAATAGTTATAGGATGTGATTAAGAATTTGTATTTTCTAACATACTGGTCACTCAATGCCATGTTAATTCATGATATTGTAAATTTCCATGTTTCCTCCTATTGCTGAAGTTGTGTAGTAGCTTTTCATTGGAGGGGATGATACTCTGCCAGCTCTACTTTCAGATCAGGGATGGTCTCCCAATGAAACTGTTGAATTTATCTGGATAAAAAGATACTGGACTCTTGCATGGTCCATGCCCGCAATGAAGGAATCATGACTGGTTATGAACTGTACTACTGTAACAATATGGGAGAATTCAATATGGGGGGAGGGCTAGGGAAGGGGTTGGGGGAATCCAAGAGCCTATGAAACTATATCATAAAATGAAATTATATGTATGTGTGTGTATGTATATATACGTGTGTGTGCATATATATATATATATATACATACACACACATAGAGAATATACAGATACATAATTTCTTTATTTGAAAGAGTTAAGAGAAGAGACAGCGAGAAAGAGCAAGCCCACTTCCATCCTCTGGCCCACAGCAGCAGCTAGGACTGGGCTAGGATGAAGCTAGAAGCTTCACATGCCTCCCAGGTGCTCAAATACTTGGGCCACCTTCTGCTGCTCTTCGCAGGTCATCAGCAGGGAGCACGACTGGAAGTACCACAGTAGAGACACTGATACGGGGATGGTGACATAACTCATCCTGCTCTTTTTGTCTGTTTCATACTTTTTTGCTTTATGCTAATATTCTGGATTTTTTTCTTCTGACCTACCTTTTCACCTACCAATTCTTTTTAAAAAGTATATTTAAAATACTTCTTTTGGGGCCCAGTACGGTAGCTTAGTGGCTGAAGTCATTGCTTTGCATGTGCCGGGATGCCATTTGGGGACCAGTTCACATCCCGACTGTTCCATTTCCCATCCAGCTCCCTGCTTGTGGCCTGGGAAAGCAGTCGAGGACAGTCCAAAGCCTTGGTATCATGCACCTGCGTGGGAGACCCAGAAACTCTGGACTCATGGCTTTGGATCAGCTCAGCTCCAGCTGTTGTGACCATTTAGGCAGTGTGCCACTTGGAAAGTGAATCAGCAGATTAGAGATCTTTCTGCCATCTTCTCTATTAATCTGACTTTCCAATGAAAATAAATAAATTTTTAAAAACTAAAAAAGGCAGGAGGGAGAAACAGAAATATCAGTCTTGTATTTGCTGGTTCACTTCTCAAATGCCTACAACAGCCAGACTGAATCTGGATCTTTAATGGCCTGCACTTCAGCCATAAGCTGCTACCTCCTGGGATGCAACAGCAGGACACTGGAGTGCAAGTAGAGCACACTCTGGTATGAGCGCTTAGCCTGCAACACCATGATGCTCACCTCCAACGCTTTTCTTTTCACCCATGTTGAAACAGTTGTTAATCTAGCCACTGATGGCTCAATTTTTGCTTTTACTTCTAGAGTTTATGTTAGAAGTCTTCAGTTCATTACAGCAATGGCTAATTTTGTCTCACATATATTTGATACTTCCTGATTAAAATTCATTTATTTAGACTCAGACTGAGGTGCCAGAATCCCATGAGCAGCCAGCTACTACAATTCCAATCCAACTCTCTATTAACACATTTGGGAAAACAAAAGAAGATGCTCCAAGTCCTTGGGACCCTTCACCCACGAAAGAGACCCAGAAGAAGCTCCTTGTTCCTGGCTTCAGATCAACTCAGTTCCAACCATTGTAGCCATCTGGGGAGTCCAGTAAGTACATAGAAAATTTGTCTCTCTCTCCCTTTATAACTCTGACTTTAAAATAAATAAATAAATAAATCATTAAAAAACAAAATATTTGAAAAAAACAAGGAGTAAAATTCCTGGAGGAAACTGTTACATTCAGAAGCATATTACGCTTGGGAACAAAAAACAAGGCTGGACTCCAGGACCCTCCTAAACGATCTGAGAAAACCCTAAACTTTGAACCCTTGCTGGAATCTGGGGTACAGCACTAGCAGCAAGCTGTAAATGATTTGTCAGTCACTGAAGAAAAGCCTACTATGCGCTCTATCTTCAAAAATACAAGAAAGGTTTTGTTGTTCATTTCCTTTTCAATTTTCCTTCTCACCCAACTGGTATTAAAATTTTTTTGTCAAAACACTAACGGTAAACAAAGCAAAGATACAGAAAACTCAAACATATGGCAACAACTTCATATTTTACAAACCACAAAAACAATAAATACCTTTCCCCAACAGCAAGCAAAAATATTAAATCCTGACAGGGGCTAAGAACACAATTAGGTAATAATTAATATGCCCAGTTCTTTAAAAAACATATGCAAAGAAAAACAAAAACATGGCCTATTCAGAAAGAAATTAACAAAAAATGTGCCTGTGAAAGTAAAGATACTGAATTTTACAGACAAACTTCAAATCAACTATTTCAAACAGTTTAGCATCATTAAAGAAAAAACAAATTACAGAAAAGGGACAAAAATTTTAAAGCTAAAATGTGTAAGCACTGAAGCAAAATACCCTAAATCCTCTAGTGTGCATGTATTTTGTTTTTCTTTTCTAGGTGGCACTTGTCTCAGGGGAAGGCCAGCTTAGCCTCGCAGTGAGAACTCTGGGCAGAATGGCAGATGGCCATGGTTGGGTTTCAAGAGCAGATATGAATATGCAGAACAGGGGAAAAAAATACAAAATAAAGTCAAACCATTTGAAAATTTCCAATCTGGGGATCAAGGAAATGAACAAAAAAGGAGGCAGTGAGGAACAAAAGACAAAAAAGAAAAAAGTGATAGCACCTAAATAATTTATAGAACATAATTATCCATAAACATACACACAGAATTTCCAGGAGAGGAGGAAGTCACATAGAGAACAGCTATATTAAGCCCCAAAACTTCCAATACTTTATAAATCATACAAATTGACAAATTTAAGGAATTCACCAAATCAAAAATAATAAGGAAGCCCACTGATAGAATAATAATCATTTTTAAAACTCCAGTACAACTGATAGAATAATAATCATTGTTAAAACTCAAGGACATGGGCCCGGCACAGTGGCGCAGTCGTTAAGGTCCTCGCCTTGCACGCCCGGGATCCCATATGGGCGCCGGTTCTAATCCCAGCAGCTCCGCTTCCCTTCCAGCTCCCTGCCTGTGGCCCGGGAAAGCAGTCGAGGACGGCCCAAAGCTTTGGGAACCTGCACCCGCGTGGGAGACCCAGAAGAGGCTCCTGGCTTCGGATCGGCATAGCATCGGCAGTTGTGCTCACTTGGGGAGAGAATCATCGGATGGAAGATCTTCCTCTGTCTCTCCTCCTCTCTGTATATCCGCCTTTCCAATAAACAAAATAATAAAAAT